ACTGTCTTTTTACGCGTTGCGTTGCATCGCGCCGCGTAAACATAAAACCATGTCTGCATTTGTGATCGGAGAAATGACAAACAACAAGCCTACTCTACACTGCTCAAAACTCACGTTTGAACCATCATTGGCAAATTATTTAAATATAAAAAACATACTTACAGGCTGTGAGACAGAAGCGCCAGACTGTCCTTGCAAAGCTGGAACTGCCCAACTTTATAGAAACAGCCTTTGTGTCACAGATGCATTAAGCTACTGGTTCAGGAAACAGTCCTCATACATCCTCCATAAAATGTGCTGTGCACATCTGAATATTTGGGTTGAACTGTTCTGGAACAGTGTTGTAAATACAACTTAACCACTGATTTCTATTTGTGTCCTCTTTTGGAAGGCCAAACAAAGTAGTTTCGCTTTCACAACTAAACACACAGCGACACAACATGGCTGCGGCTGCAACAGCAAGAATAAAAGTTATGCCTTCTTTCTTTGCGTGAACATTTGGGTGGCGTTATGCAAATCTTCCCACACAGTGACGTAGACATGTGGGGGCGTGTTAGAACGAGCCGTTTTAGGTAGGCGTGGTTGACTCTTAACTTTTATAAAGAATATCTCTTTGGATTTGAGACTTTAGTCTTTGCAACTTTACAGATCTTCTTTATGCACCAAGAGCTTGTAACACTCCAAAGAGAAAGGAAAAATTTAAATTGCATCATATGACCCCTTTAAAACCTAAATACAATCAACCACTGCTTTACTGATCAAGATGGAGGAAAATATGCCAGCTTTAATATCCACACAAATGGCCAAATTTTGACAAATTTTGGCTACAAAACACTCTTGTTCAGTCCATCATGACATTACTCAATCACAACGTGGCAGCAGGAAAAACATTAGACAAAATTAGCCCAGATTCAATTAAGATGTCATCAGAGAAGTGGTCAAAGTATTTCTTTTTCCTTCTCTTAGCAAGAGCGTGAGATCTGACAGCTAGGCGTTGGCAGCAATGAAAACTGTGGGTGGGGGTAGACTGAGCCGAGTATTACCGGGCAGACCACGGCTGACGGTGTCCCACAGGAACAATACACTGATGAATCACACTTTGATAGAAACATCTGTGTGAAAAAAGCATCAGGAATCATAAAATGTCCAATTAAAGTGTCTAAATTCTTACTGACAGTTTGTTTGGGCTGCAGGAAGAAGAAGTGTTCAACCACCATTTTAAGTGGTTAAAATGCTAAATGTGCAATCATATCTAAAACAGTCCATCCAGGATTTAGGAAGGGTCATCCAACGCTCTGAAAAAAAGGTACAAAAGTTGTTACTAAGGTACATTTTAGTATCTAAAAAAGGTACCGCTCCAGTGACAGCTCTGTACCTTTTTTTCTGAGAGTGAACAGACTAATCATTAAGTGAGTCTAAATTTTCTCTCTTTTTTAAACTTTTGGTGTTTTAATTTTGCATTAATTTGTATTGTAAATGTTTGTCCACATTGGGAGTTATAAAGTCAGAATTGCGAGAGATAAACTCATTGCAGACATTTTTTTCTCAGAAATGCCTGATATAAACTTGCAGTTGCGAGTTATAAAGTCAGTATTACGTGATATTGCGAGAAAAAAGCTCAGAATTGTGAGATTTAAACTCGCAATTCTGAGAAATAGTCACAATTCTGACTTTTTTCTCAGAATTGCGAGTTTATATCTCGCAATTCAGACTAAATAACATGCAATTTAGTGTGAACCTAGGGCTGGATGATATGGCCAAAATTTATATCACGATGTATTTCTTAATTTCGGTCGATACGATATAATTCCGATATCGATATGAACACTATTAAAAAAGCCTCATAAAAATGGCCAAGGACGACCACAACAGATGTCTGTACCTACAAACTTATGAAAAATTAATTTGCCAACTCTATGAAACCTACTCCTATAAAACGATATAATAATTTAGGAAAAAAATGGCGCAAATAAATAAATGTTCACCTTTTATTGGTATTTAGCCTTCATACAAACAAGAAATGTGAAATCACTGTCAAATAAATCTCAGACTCTCCTTATTAATATTAATATTTTTTACTTCAAACTATAGGCTAACATACCAGTCAAAAGTTTTTGAACAGTAAGGTTTTTAATGTTTTTTAAAGAATCCTCTTCTGCTCACCAAGCCTGCATTTATTTGATCCAAAATACAGCAAAAACGGTAACATTTTGAAATATTTTTACTATTTAAAATAACTGTTTTCTATTTGAATATATAATTTATTCCTGTGATTTCAAAGCAGAGCTTTAGCATCATTACTCCAGTCACATGATCCTTCAGAAATCATTCTAATATTCTGATTTGCTGCTCAAAACACATTTATTATTATGATGTTGAAAACAGCGGAGTAGATTATTTTCAGGTTTCTTCGATGAATAGAAAGTTCAGAAGAACAGCATTTATCTGAAATAGAAATCTTTTGTAACATTATAAATGTCTTTATCATCACTTTTGATCAATTTAAAACA